GGCCGATCTGACGAACACAGACGTCTGGTAGTGTTTGAATTTTAATTTTTTCTCTACGAATCTAAATCACTTGAAATTTTAGGCGCGTGTTCTTTTCATCAAAACGCACCTAATAAATAAATATATATATGTATATAATTATTCGCAAAAAAAAATGATTGGGGGTATTTTGTTCAATTTATTTCATGGAAAATATTTTTTTGATATTTTTTGAAGATTCAAATAGTTTTGATGAACACACTCCTAAAATTTCAAGTGATTTGGATTTGTAAAAAAAAAATTAAAATTCAAACACTACCAGACATCCGTGATAGTCAAATAGACTCAAATTCAATCTGAGCCGTTGGGCTCATATGTTCATATGAGCTAGTGGGCTAATCCCAGTTTTTTCCATATATATATATATATATACGGAAAGTATATAATGAAACCATTTACTTTTGGTACAAGGTGATCATAATTAATCTTGACCATTATTGAATGTAAAATCGAGTGATTGCATTTATTTCATTGACCAAGCTTAAAGTTCAAAAGAAACAAAACAAGCGGAACTCTCTCTGCTATAAGCGGGCAGGGAACTTGATGTTTCCCTGTGAGAACTCTTCACTCTATTGAGTTTCCAAAGAAAAGCTGGCGAGCAAATAGAGCTGGGAGCTTACCATTTCTTTCTATTAGAGTAGAGTTGGGAGCTTGTTGTAGTAGGGGAGAACCTTGCTTGCTATATCCCTAATTGCATGGCTTGTTCTTCGAGACCTGCTTCTCCCCTCCCCCAGGCGCCGACCTGAACCTGAATGTATGGAGTACAGCCAAGTGGCAAGGCATCGACAACATGCAAAGGTTCAATTTGACTCCATGCAATTAGAAACACCCGATCGGATATATATAGGTTGCGCAATCTAGACCGGTTTTGGGACTTCCAATTTCATAGTTAAAAGTGGAAATAGGTCTTCATACCATCATCAAAAAATTTTGGACCAAAACTGCATCTTCCAACAAGATCGAGAGGTCCAACTTGCTTTGTCTAAAATTGATGCCTCCGTAGAAACCACACCATTCTAGCCTCTGTATTCCTACATCTTATTGAGAGAGAGAAGGGGGCTACATCTTAATTGAATTTTCATAAAAGAAAGGATAGGATGAGCGATATACTCCTCGCTTTAAGAGACAAAGCATCTCAAACATCCAAACAAAACTAAAAACTCAAACTTCAAAATCCAACTCCACCCACTACCTGAGGTCCTCAAAACACCCCCACTAAGCATTCTTAAATACATCCACCCAAGAATTCCACGCCAAAGTCAAAACAACTCGAAGGAAATTCAGCACCTTTCCTTCAGCGATCACGTTATTGGTGGGGGTTGAAGCGGCATGCAACGTACACTGAGATGGCGCCCATATGAAAAGCCTGCAGAACATGGCGGCGTACAGGAAGGTGGCGGCGCACCCCCATGGCCCCAAAGATGGAACAAAAGACGGTCCAAAGAGAGCCAAAGAGGGTGGGAAAAAAAAAAGTGGGAAAGACAAGAGAGCAGACAGAGGGGAGGAAAAAGGAGCCAAAGAAAAGAAAAGAGAAGGAAATCAGTTCCGAGCTCCCACCAACAAAATGGCATCCAACAACAGTAATTCCAAGCTCTCTACAAGAGCTTGAAAAAATCATGACGGAATCCACTAATGGGCTAGATCCCATCTAAAGCAATAACCTAACAAGCCAGATGCCAAGGTCATTAAAACGACCCTACAACAAAATATCCAGCCCCAACAACAAGGGTGGATCCTATCTTAAACACTAGTCATAACGTGTGGGGAGTCAAAGAAGAGAAAATGAAGAAAGTGAGTGGGAGAGTGGGAGAAAAGCCAAAGATGAAAGCAGAGAGGAAATGGGAAGAGAGAGAGATCCCTCTCTGTGTAAGGGAGTCAAAGAAGAGAAAATGAAGAAAGTGAGTGGGAGAGTGGGAGAAAAGCCAAAATGGGAAGAGAGAGAGATCCCTCTCTGTGTAAAATACTCACTGTGGAAAGAGGAAGGACGAAGAGGATAACCTAAAACAGAAAAAACGAGAGGGGACAAAGAAGGAAGCAAAAGAGGGAGAAGAAGCCGAAAGAAGAGAGAAAAGCAAACAAGAGCTCAGATCTAAGAAAAAAGCTTAGATCTAAAAAAAGACGTACCCTCAAAATTTTCAAGTTAATGCTAATATAATTTTTATATTTGTAAAGGCATTTATTGTCAAAAATTTCAAAATAAAAAATTCTAAGCTCACCATTAGTATGATGTATTGTTTTATATTTGTAAGGCTATTTATAATTAAAAATTTTTGAATAAGAAATTCTAAGTTCACCATTAGTATAATATATTCTAAAAAACACTCGGATTTATGTAGAAATCTCAATTACGTATAAGAGGGAATACACCGAATGGCCCACATTAACTATTGGCCCTTGTACAATCAAATTGTATTTCATACGTCGAGTGACTCAAGCCATCTTCACATTATTTTTATGGTCTTGTAAATCACCCATCTCATTTGAACTTCAATATTTCTTTGTTGACATCAATATAACCTTGATACTCTCTGATGGTTTGAGCCAAAATAAATCAAAACTCAACCAGAATTTGAGAATCAATGCTCAAACTAGTATCCTTGTGTCTCGGGCCATTCACCATACAAGTGATTCATCTCCCTCCACAGTAGATTATTTTCCTCCTTGTCATCTGGGCAGCTCCCACAGCAACATCATAAAACCTTGCAAGACATGCATAAATATCTGCAAGAGCTAAATAGATTACCGCACAGACACAACGATACGATCACATATCTCATGGAAAGTCTTCAATTCTGTCCCCCACAACCTGTAATACCAGTTCACTATGTCCTTCAAAAGGGAAAATCATAACACAATCATTTAGAAAAAAGAAACAAACCACTTAAAAGAAGAGCGAGCCATCTATGGTTCCCAATACACATATAATTTTGTATGGATTGATATTTGTCATCTGATAGCTGGCACTAAACCAACAACAATATCACACATTAGTTGTGGGCTGATTGTGGGCTAATAGTAATAACTGGAGCTAGTATGTGACACATGTTAGCTCACTACCAACCATTCCACGAATAAATTATGTACATGGAGACCCATAGAAAGGTTTCTTCAGAATCATATCAAGTAAATGAGAGAAAGGACAAAGCATACCAGCATTCTATTCCAACAGCATTGGCACCCATTTTATCAGCCTTTGGATCATCCCCAACATGCACTGCTTTATCAGCACTCACACAAAGTTTTTCTGCAAGCTTACCAAGCTCTACATTAGACTTTATTTAAAAGTATAATCAAGATAAAACATTTAGATTTCTATCAAGAAATTTAAAACAGATCAGTACAATTCCTTGAATACAAAAAGAAACTCTATTGAAGTATCAAAATTATGTGGTCAGTAGTAGTGACTATTGAGAATACTAACCTATAACAGGGAAAACCATGAAAATAAGAATGTGAGTGGTTTAGGAAAGATACAATTAACACTAATGATATCCAAGTTATCCAGCATGGTAGTTTCATACCCACTCTCTCAAAGTAATGGAGAAACTACCTGCCTGGAGCCCTGCAAACCTGCTATATCATTTGGGTAATGGGTGGCTTTCATCTCGATGATGGTGGTGGAAGGTCTGAGCAACAAGGAAGGTGTGTGTGGGGTGGGTGGGTTTGGAGGTGGGGTGGCGGTGGGTCTTAAAGCAAGGGCAAGGATGGATTCGGGGTTTCCTGTATTTCGGAAACACAAGGGCATTTGTATGAGAATGCCGAAGGGTCCCTTGCAACTACCCTATTCAAGCATGCATCCTCACAGAGAGTGTGTCTCTGTGCGTGTGAGAGCCCTGCATAAGCGTGTGTGTGTGAGAGAGAGAGGTGTTTCTACATGTGTGAGAGAGAGAGAGTCTGCATGTGCACATGTGTGTGTGTGAGAGAGAGAGAAGGTGTCCCTTCTTCGAAAGGGTCAAATGTTGCAGGAGCAAGCACTTTCACGCCTCCAGTCCTTAGTGAATGAGGACAATAAAAACAACTTAAAAATCATTCCAACACTGCCAAATCTTTTAAGAAATTTATATTTTCCATGCAAATTTTCCATGCAAAGTAATTCAATAATTAGTCCTTTATCATGGTTGGTGATTGTTTCAAGTCCTGGAGTGCAGAAAGTAGATGGAGGACTTGAATTGAAGAGGCAAGAAGATGAGAGTGTTTGTTGCCACTTTCGACTGGATTCCCATAAGAGAAATAAAAGGAGTTTTAGGGGAAATGGGGTAAAAGAAGATTCTTTCAGGGTCCAGAAATGTTTCATTTCTGCATTCCATGACAAAGTATCATACCTAGAGCAGCTTTGAAGATCTGTTCTGATGGCTTTTCATATCCAACTTCAGCAGATACAATAATTGCATCAAACCTGAATAAGAATGCAAACATATATAGTTAACCACCAATTTCATTTATGCAGCTTCTTTATATAGTGCAATATCCTTTTTAAGTATTATTAGTTAAAAAATTTCTTATAAATCATTCACAGTGGAATACACTTAAGCTTATCTGATAGATAAGGCAGCCCATACATGTACATCAGTAAATATTTTTTCCTTTTCTGTTATATTTTTAAGCTTGGCACTTTTATCCTTATGATAAATACATATTTATATGTGTGACATGATTACATCTGTCAAAAGAAATTTGTATAGCAGTCATCCCAATGTTGCTACCTAAGGGTAAAACAAGGAAATAATAATAAGATTATTGATGACAAAAATAAAAACAAACAGGTACTAGCGGAAGTATAACATCAATTAATTGCACAAATATGAACAAGAAGTATACAATGAAATTCAACGAGGGAGAGACAAGAAGTAGCACTTAACAGATTTTCAATATTAAGGTCCTTCAGCAGTCTCCTCAAGCGTGTATCAAAATTCGAAACGACAGCCAACTTTACTAGACAGTAGAACAGCCCAATCAAATGAGTAAGTTCTAATCTCATATTTTCCCAACAAAAAAAAAAAACAAAAAATCACAAAAAAATATCTCATCAATTGAAGAATATATGCATCTATAAAATAAAAAATCTTAGTGCATGCAACCTCTAGCTTTTTTCAAACAGCACATGCATTCATAAGCTCCAGCAGGTAAACGCCAGGCATCTCCAGTTGCAAAGTGCTGAAAGGAAAGATCAATAAGCACAAGTAAGCCACAAAATTTAAGCCAAGATTAAACTCTGGCACATAACTTCATGAGATGCATAGGAGGCTAATGTTTAATAGAGGGGTGACTATGAGATAGATATGCACAGTCAAGGTCTTAAGCACCAAATCCCCATTCTCATGCTATGGTCCTGACCGAGTAGAATGTTTAGAACAAGAACTAAAGTTAAAAAATTTAGCACGACACAGATAAGAAGGAAGATCACAGATAACCAATAATTCTTACACCAAAAAGATGTTACAAGATATGAAAGACCTCAAGTGCTAAACCATACCTCATTATTGCGATGGATTCCTATCAAAATACAGTACTGAGGACACGTTAGCACTCATAAACAAACACACACACACACACACATATTGGAAGAGGCTAGAGTCAGCCCACTAGCTGATGGAATAGAATAAGCCTAATGGCCCAGATTGAATCTGGGGCCAATCTGACTGTCAGGACTGTATTTCGGTAATATCATTTTAATATTTTTTATATAAATCCAAATAGCATGACATTTGGATCATAAACTCTTCTCAGCAAGGCTCATCTAATAAAAATATTAAAAAAATAATTGG